ATGTTAAACTCATTACATATAGATATAGATATCCAAAGAGGGAAAAAAAGAAAAAATAAACAAACAAACAAAGCCATCTTACTTACCACCCACCGAGGAAAGAAGGTCGTAAATTGTAATATATAAAATATGTGTGAAAATTGACTTAAAATTTGAGATATATTAATGGCTCTATCTTTCACCAAATGGAGCAACATGCCAATGATAGTGTACATAGCTGCCGGCCAAACAGAGCAATGTGCCAATTATAGTACACGCTCAAAAGCACTTTGTAACTCTGCTCAACGAATAATACCACAAAATTCCCCCACTATCCTAGGTTGGAATCTCAATTTTTATCCAATTAAACACCAAAATTACCAAAATATATAAGGGATGAAAATTATTGTGCATAGTCCTTCTCTCATTTATATAGTTAAGATTTATTATATGGAATTAAATAATGGAGATAGGATTGAAATAAGGTTAAGAACATGACAATCTTTAACTTTTTCATATGTTCCATAGAGATAGGATCTTTTTTTTTTTTGTATTTGTCCCAAATTATACGTATATTTCCTTTTTCAAAAAGTATTCATTTTGTAAGTTTATTAATATGCTGATATTCAATGTACACTGTTATCAACATTTTCATTTTGTTATTTATTTTAGTCAAGTTTGTAACTTTGACGAGATTGAGTCTTATATTGAAAAACTAAAGAGTAATAAGTTCCAAGAATGATTAGTAATATGAGCATCTATTTTGAATGAGTCATCTAGTGTTAAATGAGTGGTATATAAGAAAACTATTAAATATAAATAGTTGCTTTAACTACATCAACTAACATTTTTTAATCTACGTAAAAATAAAATTAGAGAATATTAATTATATGGGATGAGGTAATTGAGATATGATTATATTAAACACTAATATGATTATTTATTCATTTATTTGTCTATTTTTGTTTACTTATAATAGGAAATCAGACATTTAGCATTGACTGTGTGAACTGATGCTAATTTTACATTTATAAATCAAATTGGGTTCATCCATTTTTCCTTTTTTGTGTTATTTTGAATTTGACTTTATATTTATTATCTTTGTTACGTGTTCAATTATTGACAACACTCCCATTTTTAGGGTGGATTTGGAACTAAAGTTGTTGGTCTCTTCACTTCTGAATCTGTAATTTTTACAAAGCATTTATTTTCCCCTTTAAAAAGTTTTGACCTTTATGTGTTTCTTGTTCAATTTGATTATTTCTCTTAATATTTTTAGACTTCATTTTCTAGAGTTTATGCAGCTCTTCACGTTTTATTTTCAAAGAAGGGAATTTTTTTAGGTAGACTTCAATTTCATGATTTTGGATTTCATTTGTTGTACTTGGTTGAATCCACTTTTTCACAACATGCTGCAATATGGATGGTGACAGCATTTTGCCCCAAGCATTAAAATTGTTAACAAAAATAAGTATTTTTTTTTCTTGGTACCAATACTTTGCCAATGGAATTGGCACCATAAGAACATTGCACTGTCAACCTTGTCCTACCTAACTGATTCTCCATTTTTTTTCCATCTTTTTGATCTCTTTGGGTATTACTTTTATGATAAAGGAAGCGCGATTGGAGGGCAAGAAATGCAAATGTATTTTTTTTCCTTCTCTCATAATCAACTTTCTTTTTTCTATCCTAATTCACCTAAATTCATGAGAAAAATAGTAATTTAGTTCAACCCTAGGAAAGCGATGAAAAAATACATAAACATGCAAGCACAGAAGCAAATAAATATACATAAAAATCTAACTATTACATTTGGGACCCTAACTACAATCTAAGGGAGGAATTTGAAAAATAATAACCTGACTATTACATTTATCTAACTAAATACATTTTTCTTGGGCAAAAGGAAAAAAAACTATCTATTACAATTTGACATTTAAATGTCTCCTAAATAATCATCAAAATAAAATAAAATAAAATAAATGAAAACTTAAAATGGATACATAAAAGAAAAAGCATTCAAAACACACAATAACACATAAAAAAAAAATACATAGGAACACATAAAAGATCTTAAAATAAGAATAAAAGGTACCTCTCTTAAAATAGTGGTTAAATGAGGTAGAATTTGCCCTATTTATACTCCAAAACTACCAAAATAGTCAAAGCACTAATTTAATTAACAATTAAAAAGAAAATGTAAACATATAGCAAATTCACTCTATCATTCCAAAGAAATATGAACAAACATAAAATGTAATTAAATTAAGGACCTAATTGAATGAATTTCCAAATTTTAGGGTCACAGAGAAATTGTTTAAAAGATTAGAGGCTTAATTGCAAATTCCATTTCTGGTTTCTCAAGGCCAGAGGGCCTTTGGGCCATTTTCTTTCTTTTCTTTGTTTTGGTCTAGGCCAAAGCACTTTAGCCCAGAAGACCAATCCATTCACAAAACGTTGGGCCTAACTACAAAAGCCCGTATGTCAACCCAAAAAATAAGTCTTAGCCAAAAAATAGCAGGCCAGCCCATTTTCTTTACTAAACCAAATCCAATAAAAATGTTGGGTTTTAACTACAAAACCCATATCATAACCCAAAGAAAATAAAAACAAATCCATTTATCAAAATCCCAATGTATTTGGATTGTAAATTATTTGAGATAATTTTGTGAAAAAAGTACTGCAACACTTTTTAAATATGATGTATGTGAAATAAAAAGGTGATTGAAAAATGTGTTGATGATGGAAGCAAATCAATGTGTGTAAATAAGGTGTTAACCCATTTTCTAAATCATTTTGGGTTTTAACTACAAAACTCATATCATAACCCAAAGAAAATAAAAACAAATCCATTTATCAAAATCCCAATGTGTTTGGATTGTAAATTATTTAAGATAATTTTGTGAAAAAGTACTGTAGCACTTTTTAAATATGATGTATGTGAGATAAAAAGGTGATTGGAAAATGTGTTGATGATGGAAGCAAATCAATGTGTGTAAATAAGGTGTTAACCCATTTTCTAAATCATTTTCATAAATCCCCAAAAGAAAAAGAAAATGTTTAACTAGGTAATTTACATCCAATAAAAATATTTAATCTTTAGTTATATCCTAACATCCAGAAAAAATTTACTCAAAGCATACATAAAACATATAAAAGAAGATCAAGACTTGGAAAGAGAGGAATCAACCCTTTTTCACAAATTTTTGGGCCTTAGTGCAATTATTTAAAAGTTGGGGGCAAAATTGAAATTTCCTGTTCAAACCATGCAACCCACGAACTCTGAATGGATGTTGTAGGTCCAGCAAGTTTAAGAAACATATGAAGATGATTGCAACAAATCCACATCGTTTTCCAAATACACAAAATTTATATAGCCCAAAGAAGATCCCAATATCCAAACGGAAGATTCAAAACAAGATTATGTGGGAGGAATCTAAACCAATATGCTGCAACAAGAAAGAAAAACAGCAGAGGAAAAGAAAACAAGCGAGTGCAGCAAAATTTTTACGAATCTGGCACGGATCTCAGCTTCTATGAAAGAAAAGGAATGAACTAAGTTATCTTTGGTGCTCTATGGAATCAAATAAATGTGGAGAATCTCGAGAAAACGCCTCCAAATGATAGAAAACGAAGCTGAAAAATTGTCGTGGAGACTCAAGAGCTGCAAACGCAGCAAGTTTAAGCCTCGATTCAAAGGTGTTGTGGTGGGTTTTCTCAAAAATTTTCAACACGAACTTTTCTCCCCAACCAACCTAGATTACGTAGAAACAAAATTTTTCTGACAAGAAGCCCTAACGAGATTGGAATCAGGCAGAGAATGTAGCTGAATCATCAGCCCTGGCTCAAGAAGAGTTTTACAGAAAATTTCTACTATTTCTCTTCTCTCTCCCCGTTTTCTCTCTTTTTTCTCTTTTGTTGTCTTTTGCCCACTTTTTTCCTCTCCCCCCCTCCTCTCATGGCTGCATTCTTTTCTATTTAAGTTTTGCCAAGAAACCCTAAAAACTTCCTCTCAATGGTACAAAATGGAATCCGTTTTGCTGGTCTCTTTTTGGCCATTTGATGGCCTTCCTTCCAGAGATTTCTTGATAAGGATTAGACTGAGGTGGACTTTGTACTGGCAATGCTTGGGAGAAAAGAAAAGGAAGAAAAATGCGAATTTGATGCCTTCAAATTTCCAACTGCATTTTCGTACTTGTTGCTCTAGTTCTGGCTTGAAGAAAACTGCGCGCGTGCTGTGTGCGCTCACGTGAAGCAGCCAAAATTTTTTTTGTAATATTTTTCATTTTTTGTTTTTTCTTCTCTTCTTTTCCTCTTGATTTTCGTACAAAACCAACCAAATAAAAATCAAAATAAGGTGAAAATGATTTTTCTTAAAATGAACTAGCGAAAAATAAAAATAAGATGGAATAAAAAAGATAATAAAATTTTGGTATCTACAGCGTAACAGCATGACTAATGCTTTTATACATATTAGTACATAAAACTTCAAAAATTTTATTGCAATTAAACTTTCAATAACCTATTAGCACATGCTTTACAATTTCTATGTGTATGACATAATACGGCTTTTATCACCTTATTTGTATTAGTATTAGGCTAACCGCTTCACATACTAATATTCGTATTCATGGCACACTTTACATGTGCGCTTAATTTAAAAAATGATACACTACTTAATAAAAAGTTAAAGAAAAGTTATTGTGTTAAATATTTTGTAAATAAAGAATAGGAAAATTAGAAGTTAAGAAACCTTTAATTTACTCATTCCTAGTTCAAAACTTTCCTTTTCCTTCTATTTTCATCAACATAACATACAATACACCAAAGAGGGTTACTGTTCACTTTTCGTCATCATCACATGCTGCTCGCGTGAGTTATCTAAATTGGTTCTTCAATGTGCTCTAGCATCGCCCATGGATTTCTGATGGGATCAGAGGCTCATGTGATTTTCTTTCTTCTTTCGTCTCTTGCTGCTGCGATGTCTTGAGCTACCAGAAGAACCTTGCCTAAAATGATGATTGACCCAATTTACCATATTTATCTTCAACATAACATACAACGCACCAAAGAGGGGTTACTGTTCACTTTTCGTCGTCATCACGTGCTGCTCGCGTGAGTTATCTAAATTGGTTCTTCAAGGTGCTCCAGCATCGCCCATGGATTTCTGATGGGATCAGAGGCTCATGTGATTTTCTTTCTTCTTTCGTCTCTTGCTGCTGCGATGTCTTGAGCTACCAGAAGAACCTTGCCTAAAATGATGATTGGCCCAATTTACCATCTTTATCTGCTGGATATTGGAGATGAACGCTGTTCTAAATTTCAACATAACATATTGTCACTTCCTACAGGCTCGGAGATCTTCACCCTTTTCTTCACCTTGGTTTTCAGATTGGTTTCTCTTTCTAGGGTTTTCACATCTCTTTTTCTGTCTGGCTTCTCTTTTCTCCCTATCCTTTCCTTGCAGACTCTAATTGTGGCTTCTTTTCTTGCGTAATTCCATCTTCTACCCTAAAACCTCAACCCTTCTTATTGTGATATCATTATGTGATGATATTATTATTTGATTTTGGGGGTTTTTTTTGTTCATATGTGATTTTTGGGGGTTGTTTTTTTTTCGTTTCCTATTCTTTTGGTTTTGGGTGTTTGTATCTTTTTATTTCCTTTATTTTTCATGTATATGCTTTTCCACTTTTAGTAGGTCTCCCTGTATTTGGATTTGGCCATTGCTCTATCTACATGAAACTTAGGCATATGGTATTATTATGTGATTTTTAGGGGTTGTTTCTTGTTTTTCCATTTCCTTTTCTTTTGCTTCTGGATGTTTGCTTGTATCTTTTTATTTCCTTTCTTTCTGATCTGGCCATTGCTTTGTCTTTTCTTTATTTTGTCCTGGTTACTATCAGTTTGCTTTAAGTAGAACGGATTCTCAAAGCTGCACTGCCTCCGCAGCTGACCACACACAAGGTAACTTACGACTCTGCCTTCCTTACTTTCCTTTTTTTTTTTTTGGTTTATTTTTGAGTGATCTGAACTATTTGTTTTTTTTTTTTTGCTTAGAGATTACGTAAAAAACAATTATTACATCAATGGCTGGCCATAGCCAACAACATATTTTGCCATTGGTTATTCCACGACCTTACCCCTCATTCCTTCACTTTTATATTGTTAGTGGTCTCTCGATGCTCTGTGGTTTGTTTTTTCCCTTTATACCCAAACGACATATTTTGATTTCTCCTGGCTGCTAGGGACTCTTGATAAACAAAGCTAATGATTAAGTGTTTTCCATTTCATTATAGGAGAAATAATTGCAGGAGCAAAACAACTTCTTGTCAAAGCAGGTACATTGGATAGACTTAACTTTTTGCATCTTTAGATAAATTTTTTCCGTTATTTTTACTGTTCCAACTCTTATCCTAAGTGCAAAGAAAGTAATCATTTGTTCATTATTCGCACCTTCAATTTGAGTTAAAGGAAAATGAGAACATAGTCACGGTATGCTGCTCATCTGCAATCTGAGCCGCTACCTGAATTGGTGCCCTTTTCTTTCTTAAAATTAGGTACTGTCTCTGTAAATCTCTTGCCACTATTCTGTGTCAATAGACACATGTCGATCCCAGTAATTCTCATGCAACTTTTGATCTATTGCTATTGCAGAAAGACCAATGAAGGCTAGGCTGCAACCCACCAAATTTAAAAGATCTTTTTCACGTGCTTTCGAAAATTTTGATATTAAGATATACTCTTCACCTTGAAGAAAAATCCGTTTCGTGTTTTCAAGAGAATTATACATGTATATGACTATACATTCTTCAATTGCCACTGAAACTGAACATTTGAATCACTTCCTCAACTGATGTTGTTAGATTATTTATTTTATATTCTTCCAATTTTAGTTGTATTTTATTAGCAAAATTGATATGATTAAGGAATTTTTTACACTTTTCCTGTGTATTTTCCTTGCAGGCAAATGGACCCTTAGGCAAAGTGGATGGAAGAGATGGTGGTGATGCGAACTTGTTCATACCATCTTGGCTGGTTAATCTCATTAGTAAATAATGACTAAGGAGGGGAAACTTCTTTTTGCTTTCAAGCCAGAAAAGTTATTTGTCAAAATAATTATGTTTTTAATTTTGTTTTATTCAGCGCCAAACATGCCCATCTTAATGAGGTAGGTATTATGTGCATGATACTATGTATTTCGTGTTTGCGATGCTAATTAAATTGTTGATAAGAAAATACTTGACACTTTCATATAGTACTTTAATACCAAAAGAAAAAGAAAGTGTCTTATGTGAGTTCTGTTTTTGGCTGGTGCGTAACTCTTATTTCAAGGCCAATGTCTGAGGCTGTTTATTTGTATGTTTCATTTGAAAGCTTACTTCTGCATTTTGGTTGATGGCCTTGGAGTAAAGCAAATACATGGATTTCTTTCTGAAGACTTCTATTCAAAGAAAAACTAGGATCAGTGAGTTCTTGCTATGTATGTGTGTTCTTTATTTACTTAAAGCATTTGGATTAATAGTGAGTATTTTACACATTGAATTCAGAACTTCCATGTAACATTTTTATGTCAATTTTAGTTCTGGTGCTATGTCAACCTTGATTTGATGTGTGAAGCCCATGCCTAGACCTATGTAATGACCAAAGTCATGAAATTGATGCAAAATAGGTAAAAAGGGGAACTAAATGAGTTGAAGAGATGTGAGAGTTTGGTCTATAAAGGATTGGAAGAAGTATAAGAAGAAAAGTGAAAGGAACAGGGGTTATTGGCTTGAGGATGCAGTGGAAATCTCATGTAGTAAGAGCTTTAGTTATTAGTATAGATTCTATTTAATAGGAACTTCGGTCGGTTATTGAAATTAATGACCTTACAAGGATATAATGGTATCCTTTGCAAACTTATCTTAACAGATTTATAAATATGTCTTCACAGTTTTTTGTCTCAATTATGTGCTTGTCTTTTTTTTTTTTTTTTGGGTTAAAAAGAAGCATTCCCGAGAAGGGGAAAGAATGATCAATGCCTTGTATATTTTGCAATGAAAGACACTGGGACTTGCATTTTGATATGTCATATGAATGATTTAGCAGTCATATATTGTGCTACTTCTTGTTGTTTCATTTTGCTTACATGAGGTTTGCCCTATGCAACTACCATGATAATCCTGCAGAGCTGTCGAATGAGTTGTGCAGGTCCATTTGTGCTCCTTCCATCCATTGCTAATATTTGCCGTTCATTTAACAGGTTAGTAAATTTGATATATAGTTAATATTTTTCTACAATTTCTTGGCTATTTGGACAATCTATTCTGCTTCTTTTCTTTTTATTTGAAGAATTTATTTTTCAGTAATTTTATTACTGTATGCTGTTTGGATTGTATTTTGTAATTTTGGCTATGAAAAATAGTTTTTAAGTAGTAATTGTTTTTGCTTCTTTTGCTTAAGCATCATTACACTCATAGGGTTAAGCATCGTTTGTTATTTTCTATAAGGTTCTGATGGTAGCTTACTTGGATCTATTTGTAATTGTTTTTGAATTTCTTTATGTTGTATTATGTCCTGGGGAATTCATACACTAGATATACTTGTCCTAGAAGATTATTTCTTGAATTTTCGTCTTCCTCTATTTTGCAACATAATTACTATATATTCTTATGTCTTACTTTTTACTTGTAGAAAATTCCGGATCACACTGATTAAAAATTAGTTGAGCATCGAACTCCAGACATTGTTCTTACAAGCAGAACTAGAGTTTACAGTATTGGAAACAGGAAAGATAGATTTCATCGGAAATGGAGCGCCTTTGTTGCAGATCATAACCTCCAAGATAGAGACGTTCTACTCTTTCTTCCTCAATCTCACACTTTGTTTGCTTTGTTAATCTTTGAAACCTATGGAATAGAAATTATTTACCCCTGGCATCACATGTTCATGATTTAAATATTATGTTTGTAGATTCTGAATTATCAGTGAAATTGGTCGTCCGATGTAATGAAATGATTTGTGGTTCGTACTTAAGAATGACTTCAGTAGATTTAACCTTTTTCCACTTCCAGTTTTATCCCCCTAGTTATCTCTATGGTGAACTTTGAATTTGCACTCTGGGTCTTGGAAGTCCTATTCCCTTCTATGTCATTCCTTTATTCTATTATTAATTTTTATACCAGGATCAAATAGTTAACTTTCCTCCTACTGTGTATTATGCATGCAATAAATTTCTGTTTACGGTTTTGCTTTTGGACTATAAGCAATTCCAATCCCTTCCAGAGCATAAATATATTATTGTCTAATTCATGAGGTTTATGTATTCCAAGCGGTAAAGAACATGTACCGCGACCACAAGGAACCTAATTCAATGATAATATCGCTATTCATGTAATGTGTGAGTACTCGAAAACTTTTCTTATTTTATTTTATTTTACTGATTTAATTAATTATTTAATTCGACTATTTAAAATCCATTTATATGGAAAAACGCCTCTCTTATGTTTTTAAAGCGTTTTGTTAGAAAAGTTACTTTTCGAAAACTCGTTTAGTTCAGAACAACGAGTACCCATTTTTCAAGAATACATTTGAATTGAGAGCATATTAATTTTGAAAAAATAAGAATGATCAATAGTAGATTAAGAAAAGTCGTGAGGACTCGTAAAATTTATTTATTTTAAACTCCTGTTACGAGCTTATTTAAATATTTAAATGCCCGTTTACCCCAAATATTATTTTGTAACCTTTTTAGACCCAATTACATGGAACTATGACTTACATTTATTTTTAAAATGACTTGTTATGGAAATTAATTTTTGAAAGCTCATTTAACGAGAATAGTGAATGCGCATTTGGAGACAGTGATTGATTGAGAGTACAATAAGTTTGGAAAATTGGAGACTTATACAATGGTTCTAAAATAGGTAATTTTATGTTGAAGTACTCAAGTGATAGTTAGTAGTACTATCGTTATAAGAATTTTTTAGAGGTTTCGCTTTATCGCGCTTAAATCGGAAGTACGCATTTTTACGCGCGCGATTAATTGAGAGACTTAAGGCCATTATTTTTGGACTATTAAGAGTGAATAACAATAGTATGTATACAAGTGCATTAGAGGTTTAGTGCACTAGTGAAATAAATCCAAGAGGAATTGAGCACGAAGCGCGCGTGTACGCGCACTATCCTTAGTTGACTTTTGGAGCATTTTGGGCCACACATTATTAAGCTTCTCATGAGTGCATCACACTAGATCAAAACCCTTCAATTCATCATCTAAAGTGGCGTGCAACACTCTCATTTTCTTGCTCTAAGACAGCCGTGCACCTCAAGAAGAAAACCCACCAAAGTTCTTCATTTTTCTTTCATCGAATCTTCACTGATCCTCCACCAAATCACACCAAAATTTCACCATACATAGCTAATCACTTGGAGACTACACTAAGCTAAGAAAAAGGGGCTATTTTCACAGTTTTCTTGGAGCAAGGAGGGACCGAAAATTTCTGTTTTGCACACCAAGTGAAGTAGGTAACGATCAAACCTTGAAAACTTGGTTTATGGAAGTTCTAGTGCTCATATATACTCATGCATGTTAGTGGGTAGCATTATTTTGAGGAAAATTTGGTTGTGTGGGCTCTATGAACTCCCACCTTGGATATATGGACTGATTTGTGATGTTTTGATGGTAATAATGTTTATTTAGTGCTTAAACTAGTGGATTAATGTTGGGTTGTTGATAGAAACTCAAGGATGGTGCAATGACCAAAAGTGACCATTTTGCCCCTGCTTTGTTCGAGCACTTTGGTGCGAAATTTTGAGATTTTAATGGCTTGCTTATGTTGTTTACATGTTATATTGAGTGTGTAAAAAGTTCATTGAAAAATAATTTGATTTGGTCACCCAAATGTTGGATTTACGAAAGCTTAGAAATCTGAAAACTATTCCCGTATTCACCCAGGCAGTGTTTTTGTTTCGGCTATATCTTTTTACTCCAATGTCAAAATTGAGTACCATTTGTGGGACTGAAAATTAGACATTCCCAGCTTTCGAACGGTGTAAAATACACATTCTGGTTCCATCTGAGTGAGCCAAACCACTCATTTGAAAATTGCTGTCCTGTTTCATTGTTTCCTGGAAGGCAGCACATGAGCTGTAACTTGATGCTCACGAATGAGCTAGTTATGGACAGATTTTGAAAACAGTTTCTCCTGAGAAAATATAGCCTTATGAGTCTATTTTTCAACGCCACCAACCATGCTCAATTCCGAGTTGAATTGAGTGATTTATGATCAAAATTTGAATCTGGTCTTGTGAAGGAATACCATGCATTTGGACAGATTTGAAACTAACATTAATTTGGGACTTGTTATCCGAAGCTTCTTAGTGTAAATCACCTATCAAATGTACCTTGGACATATTTTAGACATTACGTACTGGAATAGACCATGTTTGAGATGTTTCTTGACCAAATGTTTGGAAACGGCAAAACGAAAGTTCAAAGGCAGTTTAGCCTTAGAATTTCTTGTGATTTCAACGGTTTCGTTAACCAACTTTCCGTACATATTTTTCTATGAAAATTGGCAGAGGAATAGTCCCTATATGGTAGTATTATACTGCTAAATTTGGTGCTATTCCGAGTCCGTTTTGCTGTTAAACTAAATTTCCAAGGTTCACTATTTGAGTTTGGGAAACCCTTGTTTAACAAGTAAATTTTGGTAACTTTGGGTCACCATATCTTGGTGCTCAAAACTTCAATTCTCATTCCGTTTGTTTTGTTCTAAACATGGATTGCAACTCTAATAGAGTTCCAAATTGCAAAAGCTGGTTCAAATTGAGTGAATTTTGTTGAATTTTCAAAGTTGGCCAAAAATCAACTTAAAACTGTCTTGATAACTCAAGTTATCAACTTCAAGCCAAAATTTGAATGCCTTCCACTTAGATTCGTGGAAAGGTGTCTTCTAGGAACTTTTAGTACTTTGAAAGACGTTTCCAACGGTACCAAATTTTCCAATTTTGGACAATCAAGAAGTAAGTTATGATTTTTCAAAGAATACCCCAAAAATAAAAAATTTTGGCCATTTTAAAAAGAATCCGCTCGGGAATAATTTCATAGAATCCGGCCGTGTATCCGGCCAGTTCTTGGCCGGATAGTTGGCTGGATTGGTGGTGAGTTTTGAAAAAAATTGGGTTTGTTCACTGCCTTAAATCCGGCCAGAAATTCGGCCGGATATCCGGCCAGTTCTTAGCCGAATTGTGACGTGGCAGCTTTACTTTCAACTTCAATCGTTCGTTTTGAAAATGATTTATATGTATTTGTTTCCATCCAATGATTTTGAGGATGAAAATCGGATTATTCTTGAGTTTTTGAACTCCACTCTTGGGCCTCGATTTTACGAGGAAATTTAGGCTCATAATTGCGATATTTTCTAGATTGTACTAGTGTGTGACCTTCCGTGATAATTGGGGATTTTAAGTAATAGTGTGTGATAGTTAATTGTTATTTGTTCAGACGCTCAAGGGGATCTTCAAGAGGAACTCGGAGCGGACGTCTAAACACTTGTTTGAGCGCTTACTCTCTTGTTTCAATAGGTGAGTGTTCCATATAGGAGTACGTAATTTGAATGAGTCTATGACATGTTTATTCCATGATCATTAAGTGTTAAGTGCTACATGTTAAGTATTTACCACACTCATGGATATTTAAGTAGGGTATACTTGAATTACTCGACATGAAATACTTGAAGTACATATACTTGAAGTACTCGACCTGAGATACTTGAATTGCATATTTATGTGATGTGTTTAAATGATTAATGATGCTATGGCTGCATAAGTCGGTTGGAGGGAATCTCCTCGACTCTTAAATGGTAAAAGTGGGACACGGCCAATGGTGGCCTATTAAAATGACAAATGTCTACCAATTAACCGTAATCACTTACCGTTAACCGTTAACCGTCAACCGTTAACCGTTTACCGTAATTACTTACCGTTTTCCTATCTACTTGATTACCTGGTACTTGATTACTTGATTACCGTAAATTACATGTTCACATGAAATTATCAAATATTGCTTACGTGTTTATGTGTTAATTGTTGCTAGTAATTGCTTATATGAAATTGTCCATCATTTTAATGCGAGTGTGTACTTATCTCACTCGACCTACCAAAAGAATAAATTTTTACCATTCGCCAAATTATTTGATTACCTGTGCATGTTGTAAGCTCTAAACTGAACTTGGGTCCTGCCCTTGGTTACTGACCTACTCGAGTCAGGATTGGGCTCGGTCGGGTAGGTTGGAATCCTGGGCCACCGTTTCGGTATACTCGAGTATTACTACTGGAGGGATAAGGCGATGGCCAGACAGTACCGTGGGGACCGGAAGTTATAAGGTGCAGTTGACCGAAATAGTTCCAATGGAACACCGTATCCTTTAATATGTGTTTATTTCTGCATAATGATAATGTGCCAATGTGAAATCTCGAGCTATACATGAGTTATGCTAATTACTCGTACATTGGTTATTGTCTCATGTTAATGTGTCAATATGTAACCTTGAACCGTACATATAATACGCTAACATTATTTGCTTTATTAGAACTGTTAGAGTGTCTTGGAATCTCACTGGGTTGTGTAGCTCATTCCACGATTTTATTTTCCTTAATAGGGTTCGAGACCAAGAGTGCTCGTGAATAGTACTAAATTAGTCTCTTTTGGAATACTTTAAGTTGTATTACAACAGATGACTGTAGTAAATATTCTTTTGGGTTGTATTAAACTTGAGAGCTGATTTATTGTAAGTGTGAGATATTTTGGAGTACTTTATTATGCATTGAAGTTATTTGAAGTATTCCTAGTCTTGAATTATGGATTGTACCGAGTCCTGGCGAGAGTTGGACAGGCATCCTGCGGATACCCTTTAGTTCGTTTTAGGGAGAAGTGGGGGCGTCACATAATATCTACTTATCCAAGGGTTGACGAGCATAAGCGCTATCTATTCCACCGTGCAACGCTGCGGTTATGCCTCCTAGTCTATGAAATAGAGATGCAAACGTATCAACCAACTCATGAACACTCATGAATCAGCTTGGTCAAAGAGCTCAGTCAACATTAAATTCAAGTTGGTTCAAGTATAAAAAAACTCAATTCATTAATTCGTAAGCTACTCAATTATATATATATATTTTTATATATATAATTTTTATTTTAATAATAAAATTATATATCAATTCTTAATATTTTATTATTTATTAAAAAATTTACTATTTTATTCATTTTTAAAATAAAAATAATTATCTTCTAATTTTTTTAAAGCTCAAATAGGATCAAATTCAAATTTAGCTTAATTCGAATTTGAACGGGAGCTTCAGCTTGGCAGGGCAAAATTGGATTTGTATGCAGCCCTAGGTACCAAAGCATTTCATTTCATTTCATTTCATTTCATTTCACACCTTAGTTTGAGGGCAAAGATGTAATTTCACATGCCGCAGACGTCTCTCCTGCTCTCTGCATAAATATGAGTGCCAAGACCTGCTCCAATAAGCATTTTAGAGGGAAAGGAAATTCACCTCTGCGGCCTGAGCACTTCAAAACGTCATCGTATTTTGTCAATCCGAAGCACCGAAAGAGAGAAATGTCGAAGCGGGGAAAGAAGAAGGACGAGGACTACGCCTCCGAAGACGAAGAGCCCAATAAGCGTCCCAAGAAATCTTCCAAAGCCGACGATTCCGATGACGCTGCCGACGACATTGTCGTCTGCGAGGTATATTTCATGAATATTCCTCTTAAATAGTTGTATAACTGTTTTTACTGAACATTCTTGAGTAATCATTTCTTCTTTTTTTTTTCTTTGGAAATTTTGTTAGATATCGAAGAATCGGAGGGTTTCTGTGAGGAACTGGCAAGGAAGAGTGGTTGTTGATATTCGGGAGTTTTACGTCAAAGATGGCAAGCAACTCCCTGGCAAAAAAGGTTTACTTTTTATTTTTGTTTATTTATTTATTTGTTTTTATTTTTTATAACCCAAAACCCTAAAACCCTAATTAGTGATCAGACCAACTACAGTATTTTTAAAGTCAAAAAGCATTTTTTTCTGAGTTTTCAGGTTTGCCCTACAAAATCCTTGGACTGGTGAGAACAGACTTAGTATTGTTAAAAAAAAACTGATTTTTTTGCTTGAGATTGAGGTTAGAATATTGCTGCTTGATGTGATTTTTAGTTTGATTAATGGATGCACAAATGTATGCTGCTAATCGGGTTGTGCTTTTTTTTTTTTTGCGATGGATTTTGCATTTCAAATGGAAAAGAAATTGGGCAAAATAAAAGTCATTCTTTTTTGTTGTTGTTGTTGTTGCTGTTACTGAAGTGATTGTGAGCGGGAAAAAGGGGGAAAGTAGAAAGGAGTTCTTGTTTCTGCCGGATGAATCATAATATTGAATTTGCCTTGCTGCTATCTGCTTTAAAATATGTGATTATATAAGGATCATTGATCTGCGTTTTGTACCCTTCCTGCTGCAGGTGCTTAAATGTTATCAGAAATGCTGTTTTGAACTTTTTAGTTGTGCTATAGTTTTGGAATGTGAACAATGTGTTGAATTACATTTTACTTGCAATCACTGATTTGTAGGTGTAAAATGTGAGTTTATAATCATACTTATCCTATTCATTGCCATTAACACTACGTAACAAATTGCATTGACAAAATATTGTCAAGGTGGACTCCTATTATCCTAGCAGGCGGAGAAAACATTCTTTTTCATGGAGTAGCTTTGGTCCGTGTAGGTGGTATGGTAGATCTGAAGAAGGTGCTACAACCGAGCTGTATGTTTGTTTTTAGGAGCATTTAAGCATGTCAAGAAGAAACTTTAAATTTGAAAATTTGATGGTATCAAAAGTGAGATACCTAGTCAAATCTCATTACTGATTTTGGACTGGGGGAATTTTTCGAATGCATGCATAAAAATTTGTAAACAAGCATAGGGCAATTGTATGTGGATAAGTTGTCTTCATTGTATAGAATAAAATGAAAAGTTCATGACAACTGCACTATGAGTAGAAAAAAGCTGTCTTTAATCAAGTTAATCAAGTTATGGGATATTTTAGATAGGTTCTCCCAATTAATTTTATTTGCTTGGATGAAAAATCACATTCTCTTGTCTGGACATGTCTGCTCTGTATCTTTTACATGAGTTATCTACCAGTAACTGTTTGTCTTGAAATGATAGAGCAGTAATATCAGGTGTGTATTTAGACTGTTTGTAGTTTTAAATTTACTGATTTCTTCTGTTTTGTTTCAGGGATATCATTGACCATGGACCAGGTATTGTTTGACAGCTCTCTTTACTTGTGACTTTTTCTGTTTTTCTTTTTAATGTTTTTGGCTCGCAATATCTCTTGTTATAGGTTGTTTTAAAGTACTTTATCTCCATTTTGCAGTGGAATGTACTTCGTGAGCATGTGGATGAAATTGACAAGGCAGTTGCTGAGAATAGTTAGATGGTCAGGCTTGGGATTGTGTACTTTTGTTAATATGAATCAACTGGAATTTTGCATGAAGAAGGGGCTGGAAGGATGTAACTAGTGATAACTCTACTTAGACATGCTAACATGTTAGCCTTAGTTTAGAGAATGTAAAAAGATAAATCTGATGCAGCTTTTGAGCTTGTTATGTCTATTATCCATGCAATGTCTATTTTGAGGTCATTTGCCAAAGCATGTTTCCTGTCCTCATTTGCTTATTTATGTGTATTTCTTGTTTAATTTGTCTTTTTTTTTTTGGGTGGGATTTCGTTAGGGATAGGGTGATAGATACTTGGAAGTTGGACCAGTTATCGAGCTTGAAAGGTTGTCTATCAACTTTCTGCAGAAAATGCTTAGACTGTTTACAGTGAGCATGCACCAACACTCGCGTTTTGATAGGAGTTTAGGCACTACTGCCTCGCAGTTAGTTGTTTTAGTTTAAGATTGAGTACGAGCATTTTGCCAAGTATATGAATGAGTGGCTGCACATTCATTTTACTTTTTACAATAACTGCCCTGCAATTGGATTGGATTAACATTGCAATCCTTCTCCATTAAGTTTGCTTTGCTTTGATCAGACCTGTTCTGATTGCTGTGGCTTCATCATTAGCATTTTCTCCTTCCTTTGGCTCAGAGTTCAGACTTGAGATGCAGCTGAATAGCTGGTTGGTAGGGTAAAATTACTCTAAAGCTAGTGTTTTTTCTTAATCATCTCATTCAAAGTTGAATCCCTCGATCATTGGGCCAAGCAGTGCTGTTGAACACTGAATACTTCACCATTTCAAATAAACGTCTACTATTTCAATTTCAATTTTGCTCTGAAGTTATCTTCCCCAAGTTTGGTTAGCAGTAGCACTGCTTTAACGTGGTAATTGCTTTTACCCTGAAAAAACATGAGAAACAGCTATAGCTGCTTCACTCTACTGGAAAAGTTGAATACCTTTGCGCTAGTGCCTTGACTCTAGGCTACTGCAACATCCTTCTTTTCCGCGGTACAATGCAAAATTTTTTTTTTAAATACCCGGCATTACCTTCTCTATTAACATATTTTGAGGGGAAAGAATACTTTGAGAGGGACTCCCAACATTGTTCCATTTGTAGTTTGGAGGGTTAAAACATAGTAACATGGTGTGCTAATTGGATTGCCTGAATTGCTCAGATTTAAATGCTGACGTTTTTTGTCATGCGAAACAACCTTGATGATACATATTATATAATTTTTTTATCCAAATCTTTGTATTATACAAATTGTTATTTTGTTTTGGTTAGACAAGTTTGTTTACAATCTCATATGCGATGAATGGTCACTCTGCAAGGTTCAAGTCAGCTTATTATAATCACAGCCACACAGCGAAGACATCAACTGAAAAATTAACAAATCTCCAACATTTCATAAATTAGTGAACCACTGAGACAAACTGACAAGGTTACTTGCAAACAAGTGATATAGGAATATAAACCGACAAAGTCCATCACTAGTTTAATTTCTGCTAGAATGCTTGTCAGTAGTGACATTTGAAACGCCTATAATTACCAGAACCTGGCGGTCTAGAGCCCAAAAGGGGTGAGAATGGAATAGGTGGGGAGCATCCCATTGTCATAAAACTCAGTTTCTGCAAATCTTATGGAGGAGGATGCTACATTATGAAAAAAAACAAAAACAAGTCAATATCATGAAAATAGAAAGACAGAAGAAACCAAGTTGCATAGCTTATATATGTTTCGATTGCATCCTTTATCCGGTACTCAAATCGAGTAAATTAGAGGTTCAGCTACAGTGGGTAGTTCAATATGGTGGTGTTACAACAAAAGGATAGTTCAATATGGTGGTGTAAAGAGCAACACAAGGACTTTCCACATAAGAAGTTCTTTTCTATGTAGGACCTCTCTCCTCTGATAATACTGACGAGTAGAGAAAGAAGGCAAGATAAGACGAAAGATCTATGGGCACCTTTATAAACTCAAACCAGTCAATCCATCATCTTTCAAGCATTGAGCTGCTTGAGCAGGCACTATGTTCCTCCGCCACTTCCAATAGTTTGCTCTCATTGGATCTACAAGTTCTAGGATAGAACAGACCACTTTCACCAAATCAGAACCTTGGGCACCTGAGTCAGAAAGACCATAGACAGCATTTCTTATCTCCAGGCTAGGCTGGAAACCATGGCAGAGAAGGTCCAAAAGCATGCTGAGGGCGTGCACGTAATTGTTTTTGGCAGTCAAAATCTTTAAGCAAACTGACGCTACTTGAGGGTCTTTAACTAGAGCATGTGTATCATTTCTGTATAAGCCTCGAAGGTACCTCCAAGGACTTTCATTTTCAGGATGCTCCATAATTGCATTAACTGTACAAGTTACTTCTGACCCCCTCATTGCCCCCAGGCCTCCAAGGAGAGGAGATCTTGTTACAACAAAATATCTCTGCAACCAATAATTCAACATGGGATTTCTCAGATGTAGAAATCTACAAAGGTACAACACTGTGACAAGAGATCATGCAAGGATGAGTAAAACATGACCTCCTCATAGCATATCAGATGATTATATGATGCAAGTTGAAATCACACAATTAACTATCTGCTAGCATTTGGGATGATGGTACCAGTAAAGTTTTGACATTAGATCCATAAACAGCTGAATTTGAAATCTCACGTTTTATACGTTCACCGACACACATTGAATACTTTAAATATTTATCAATCAGTACAGAACAAATAACAGATGATTTTGTTAACAAGATATCCAAATAGGCATATAAGCACAATACAATTGTGTTGCATAAGGTCAGAGGGTTTGAGTTTATAAGCTTCTAACTAATTAGTTTGGGTTACCTGAGAATACCTAAGATTTAATCAGTTCAACTAGGAAAAGATTTTGAATATTCAATCTAGCACAAATTGGGTTGAAAACATTAACGTTGTTAATCAGATTAGTCAGCTTTTTTCTTTCCCTGTTTATAAGAATTTTCAAGAACATCTGGTCATGAACTTGGAAATTTAAATTAGTTTTACATTAAAACAATGAAGGTTTTACACAAAGTTGGTCACGAAGTTGCAGAACGAGTCATCATGTGAGATGAAATGCGAGATTTTACTAATAACAATGCTAACACAAAAAAGAAAACTCTAGATAGTCCACCTGAGACGATTAGAAAAGAGAAGAGAGGATTTGGAGTGGCTTTGGGGCTGTTCTAGGCATCTAGCACAAGTGGAGGTTTTATGGAGAAAACAGGAGCAAAATATATATCTAAACTGGAGGAATATTTAAAGTGACGTCAAGACTGGCTATAGAGTCATGGCTCTCTTTGATTTTTCTACAGTAACTGGCTTCATGGACTTGCATAAATTGCTTTTCTTGATCTTGTACCTTATTTACCAATTTTTTAACTTGCAAAAAGGATAAGGACCAGCTGGTAATTTTTATTCTCAAGGCAACACCATCTTGTATTACTCAATGTATACTGGTAGACCAAAACATAAAAGAGGCCTATTTACCAATGACGTTTGGAGATAGACATCATGACATTTAGGATCTAATCCAAACCAAAGCATCATTCTTTACCTGATTCCAAGCAGAATTATTGAAAATGTCATCTTTGAGGAGCAGTTCACAATAGGTTGGCTCATCTTTCCATCCGCCAAGTGCCTGAAGGACCCACTGCACAAGAGATTTAGATATTCAGTCTCTTCATGTACACATACCAAACAAAAAGTCCCTTTACACCTCCTTTACCAGAGCAAACATGGTGATTGTCATTTAAGGCAATTGAGAACTCTTCCACCTCAAAGAATGGAACAGAATAAAGAATAATACTAAATCAAATATTACCTGTCTATGAGACCAGGCATGATAATGTTTTGCATCCTTAGAAAGAATTTTCTTTGTGAACTCAAGCTCCCTAGTTGAAGCATCAGTTCCCAAATTTTCAGCAACCCAACGCCTATGGTGCCTGGAAAGTCATTTTTCTAATTAGTTTCAAGTCCCTAAAACCAGAATGATTCAAAACTAACCAACAATAGAACTGGGTGAAACAACATAAAAAGGAAAGTTTTGAATGCATGCTTGTGCCAAATGTATGTATTAAAAGAATAAATAAAAAAAAAATTCTTTTTTTTTTCAAGCAGGCAATCCAATCCAGCTTTCACTGGTTTCCAGATGGACATTGCTCTTTTTTTGAAATTACATGTCAGGTTATGATTTTAAACCCTCACCGACTCCATGGGGCCTCCCATTCAATTAAGCAAAATTCAATATCAAAATAGCTTGTCCATGTGATAATATCCCAAGCCAATAGTTCTATGTTCAAATTTCGCAGCTTACTCTTGTATGTTTAAACTACATGTCAGATTGTGTTCCATTCAACTATGCATGTTCTTATGACACTTTATTTTACCAACCAAAGAACTATAACTGACATGATACGAATTGACATGAAATAGGTATTGCAAAGGAAGCTGATAGCTTTCCAAATACTACTAGTACAAAGATAATCCTTTTTTCCTGTTATGTATTAAGTATCTTTAGATTTGGAAATGAACAATGTCCCAGCATAGAAAAAGTTCCATAGCAACAAACAGAACTCAAGCATATCCCAGAAGTTAAATGAAACTAAGCTTCCACACAAATATGATTGTTAAAAGCTTAAGAGGAGAGGAGAAAATAAGAGGACATGCAGATAAAACAAGAAAACTATTTGTCAAAAGGATCACCTCACCAATTCAGTCTGCAGACACCTAGACTTTGTCCTTGATCAATTGCATCAATTGCACCAGGTACAATAAACAACAAAACTGAAATTATCTACATAAGGGTCCAAATGCAGAAGAAAAATGTAGCGATACCATATCTGATAATTCTTAGAGTTTCCTTCCACAATGCCATCCACAAAGTCCAATTCCTTGTTCATGTCAGCATTAAGCGCCTCAAGTACTAGCCGCCTAAATTGCCATACCTAAATCAACAGACTCACAAAATAAATGCCTAATACACATAATTCTTCACAAAATAATTCCCCTCCATATTTTCTTCTTTTTTCCAAAGCTTCAAGAACCTAAAGGGCCCATCTAATAACATCAAGAACTCATGAACAAGATAGCCAACACGCATGTCATGATTATTCAAAAAATCACTTTAACAAAAGGGGTCTTGTTGTGAGAATTTAAAATAGCAGAAAAAGGTCAAAATTTAGACTCTTCTGTGTTGTTTATCATAAAATATTTACTGCAAAATTCCCTAAACAGCAAAAACAATAGGTTCTTACTTCAAAAAATTCTTACTCCAATTTCTCTATAGAGGGTACTAAACATATAAGCATGCATCAACACAAAACAAGAACTAACAGTGTAATTTCCAGGGTTAAGTTTGATGGCTTCGGTGGTGAGTTGAAGAGCTCGAAGAGACCGCTCATCGGCTACATATATTGCTCTAAAATAGTCCATTGTCTCTCTAAATTCATCAGTATAGGAGATAGGGACAATGGAATTTGGACCATCATTCTGGGGGACAGGCTTCACATCGGCATATTCAGGCCTCTGACTCAAAGGGATTCTTTCACTGCTTTTTTGCAAGACATCCATCGCTATCCTGCATGAGTTCTGTAGGGAAAAGGGAACCAATTAAAGCCAATTACAACTCAACTAAACAAGAAGATTATTAAGCTAGACAATTAACATTTTTCAGTTCAAAACTTAATGAAAACTTTTAAAACAAACAACTAGAGGCAAATCATGAAAAATAGAAAAGACTAGGGGAGTGGTCAAAACAGAAAAAAAGAAAAAAGGAAAAATGGAAAATCTGCGGTACTAAAGCTGTTTTCATTGAACAAGAATGCTATTGATTGATTTCTGATCAGGGTATTAACTTCGGCCAAGTTGTCACTGCGACCCAGCCTCCCATTCCAGGCTACTTTTACTCGGAGATGCTAGAATCGGAGTTAACTTGATGAACTCTGGCTAGTCCTGATCCAGTTGACCGATTGTGTTGAAAAAATATTACATATATATATAAAAGCGAGATTTGCCCGAGTCTAGCCTCACAGTTTCAAAATTCAACCCAAAAAATAGGTGGCAGAATAAACAGCTAGAATTGTTTGCCCTTGTCCTAGTGTCACCAATTGTAATCTAAATTTGTCTTCTCAAATCCACAATACTCAACACATACCAGTTTTAGTCTAAACTTGTCTTCTCAAATCACAATTATCAACAACGACGATGTTTGAGATCTCTACATGGGAGAAGAAGAGGCAAAGAGAACTGGGACTGAAAGTGAAGCTTCAAGTTGTGGAGAGTGGACAGGGTAGGGAAAGAGAAGAATGTAAAGCTCACCAATGGTGAGAGAGGCCCGAGAACAAGAAATAGAAGAGAAGCAGCTTCAGAAGTATCATCTAGCCATGCGAGTTAGTTCCACGTTCATGACTTCTCAAAGTGTCTCCACTCATATTGTGAACTCATTTTCTTTTTCTTTTCAACAACAACAGAAAACTAATTGCTCTATTAACATCATGAGATCTATTAACATCATGAGATCTAACACCATCAGAAGATAAAAGTAAAAAGGATAGTAGTCCACATTGAAATTCTAGTTTAAATTAAAGAAATCAAATTATGGATACCTTTTTTGTCAAGATAGAATTTTGATAAATTGATTAAATTGAACTTAAACAGCATTGTTTGTTTAGCACAATATGAGAATACGATCACCAAGACACACACTCACGCGCGTTGGTGATGTTTTTCATTGCAATGCCTTCTGGAAAGAACTCAAAACTCAAGAGCTTTCAAGAATTATAATCCAAAACTCAAATTCTATTTCCATGCAACATTTTAGCAAACACCTTGATTGCATTTACAGGATCACAAATTCTCCATCCTAACCCAGTACAGGCAAACCCAAAACTTGCTCATATGAATTCAGCACAAGAAGAACAGTACCAATTCAATACCAAATCTCAACTAAAACTTCACAGACCAGCAAAATAGTTCGACTAAAATACTTCAATAAAGGATCAAAACTGTCGACATAATTATATGCATCAAGAAATAAACAGAAGTTACAGCTTTTGGAGTTACAGGAAGAACGGGATTTACACTGCTTTTTCTCTGATGATTTTTGACACAGTAATGGTGGCGGATTCCGGCAAAACGATGATTTCTCTGCCTCGTTTGCTCCTCGGATTTGCTCTTGCTTTTACTGTTTTCTGCTGTTTTTTTTTTTCCTGGGATTTTGACTCACTGTTTTATTCTTTCTTTTATCATCCCCCGGATTTAAGGGTTTCGGTTCTGAAACCTGAGAAGGGTTTCAGAAGCTGTAGGCTTCTTACTGCTGATAATTCGGATGTTCGAAGGAAAAAGAATCGAAATAGATTGTTAGGCAAGCGAGGGTCATGAGATTCCGTTCCGTTAATCTGAAATTTGAATAGTGAAACATAATTTGCTGAATTTTACGTATTTGAATATCTAAATCTTAGGTTGTGTTTGATAAAACTGTTTTGATAAAACTGTTTTGGAGTGTTTTTCAAAAATTAGTTTTTCAAATACAATAAAAGTTACAACAAAGAACTCTAAAAGATAATCTAAAAATTAGTTAAATTTTTTTTAAAATTTTACCAAAAATCTCATAATAAAGTGCCAATAAAAAATATTTCAAAATATTTTCTAAAAATATTTCAAAATATACTCTAAAAATTCTGCTACAACAAAGTTTTTCAAAAACATCCCCAAAAACAGCTAATCCAAACGGAGCTTGTAGTTTGAAATTAAAATATAAAAATTTTAATTTATTAAGTTAGAAAATTGTTAAGTACTAAAATTTGATACAATTGAGTGTCCATCAGAACAAGGAATAAGTAAATAGTTTATCACATATTTTTTAAAGTAAATTTTGTCTAATAAATTGGGATAATTTCATAAATCTCCCCTGAGGTTTCTGTAATTGCAGAGATCTTCCCTCAAATTTATTAAATTACACCTACCTCCCTTGCTTTTACTATTTATATAACAATATAGGCCCAAAAGACTAAATTTTTTCTCAAAAATCCTAAACTACCTTTTTTTGTACAAAAATAAAACAAAAATTTATTTTACCAATTGCTTTCTTCCATATTTCAACCAAACCCACTATACTAACTGTACGCGATTAAAATTTCAAGTCTGCAAAAGACAAGAAAAAAGAAATACACGACAAATATGTAATATATAAATTTGGAAAAATATGTGGGTACAATCTCTGGAATTTTCTCGAACTTATAGAGAGCTTCCTTCGATTCTTCTTCTCGAACGCCAATTCAAGGGCTTCGCAGCTTGTTCTTGGATCAACCATCGACTCCTCCAAATCTTGATATGGAAGATTTGAAGAACTTGAAAATATTTGAAAACTCAAGCCTTGATAGATGGAAGACTTGAAGAGCTTGAAGACCCAGACCTTCGTAGTTTGGAGTTTCAATACTTGAACGTATGAGATGCCTCTGAATGTGTCTCTGTGTGTCCCTTGATTTAATAGAGAGACCCCTATTTATAGCTATAGTATGAAGTAGAGGTTGAAAACCTGTATACCACTTTACTTGTCTTGCAAGACGTGTAGTCATATTAGGACTGTGCCAGCTTAAATATTATCTTTTTATTTTATATTTATTAATAAAGAGATAATACCAATAAGCAGTCCCTTAATTGGCCAAACTTGTAGGGACCTATGACGTGGCGTTGTTTGATTGGACAAACTATTGCAGTATATAAGAAATATACTTGGATTAAACAACGCTAAATATTATCCCTTTAATAAGAAATAAATATTTAGATATTTATCCAATAGACATGTGACATGATATGATTTGGTTGGTGGAGATATTTCTGCAATTTGAATTGATTTGGAACACCTCAACTTGACACGTGGCGAAATATAATTGGCCATTTAATAACCAATTTTTTCAGGTGTACATGGCATATGGCAATATCCAATTGGATAAAAATAAGTCATAAAAATAATTTATAGACCGATGGTAATTTTTGGAATTTAATTAAAATTTCATTGTCTATAAATGCCCCCTCGAAACTTGTTTGTGAACACTAAAAGAAATTAGCGGAGTATTTGAATGAACAAGTTTATATATATATATATATGTATATATATATACATATATTTAACCTCAATTCCAACACCGTTAAAATATTAATCTTCCAACCAAACTCACAAATGAACAACACTTAAGGCTTTTAGAAACTTGATGGTAATGACTCACGTAAGATGGCCATGCAAGATGCCACAATAGGTACTGACTCATATCTTGGTGAATTAGTGATCTCAATTTCCAAGAGCAAGACATCTCAATTTCCAAGGTCAGCCATACCGTGCAATATCCTCAAGTCGGTGACTCGTATAAATCTCCTTTTACTTGTAGGAATTTGAGCATTACGCACACAAGAATTCTTTTCCTTGTACGGTTCGAACAAACCTCCCAAAGCTAGCATTTGCATCCTTGGTGAGCTACACAATCTTGTTGCTGAATTAAATCCGAAAACTCAAGAGGAAGTCCAATACAAATTGCGTTAACATTTGTTGAGATTCGCTCCAATTTTTTTTAGCATTCACGAACAGGTTTCAGTTTTTTTTCTTTTTAACTCGGATTGAATGTCATAAGGGCTAGTTCTCCAATTTCTAAAAGATTAATTCACTTTCTTTAGCCTCATATCCACCGCCCCAGCCATCAAATGCATGTGCACTTTAGTGAGACTTGTGCTATGAATCTCCACGACTAAATAATCTTATTCACACTTTCTTGCAAACTTTGCTTTGTGGAATGCAAACAATATAAATATTTAGCATCTCAAACTGAACAAGAGGAATCTCTTAATTTAATCTACTATAAACACCACCTTTGCTGGACCATGGCCAAAATAGGCGGTGAATCTAAATTCCGAACCAATTCGAAAACTTTAATCACTAGTCCCTTTACGGCTTGTAAAATAAAGTTGTAGAAGGATCAAACCCTTTATCAGGAGTCGAAATAGGGAAATTATAAATTACAATCCCATACAATAAAGAATTGCCTTTTTTTTATCCACTTGCAAATCACGCCCGCCAACTTAATCAAGAAGATTTGTGCACAACCCATACAAGAGATCAATTGCTACTGAGAATACCAAGTAGTATCTGATGATGATTAGGAACCTACAAGATATGCATAGTCAAATTGGAAAGTCCCTAGGCCAGATTGTCGTGGGAATCATATTGGGCATTGAACTCGAGTTCCCAATTTCTTCACAAATCGACTCCAAACAATAAAGCTTGCACGGCTCCCTTTTCAATTGTACATGAAATTACTTTCTAACAACAATTCATACAGGATTGGGAGTCTACTCCTATCCAAATTGAAAAACCTCTCACCCGGATTTCCCGCGGACTCAACACAATGCTACTAGTATAAATAATCAAGACTGGGGTCGCAGATTCACTTGTGAGAAACAACAATAATAACTTTCTGCTATTGCAGAGTTGCTTAGTCGCTGCTACCAATGCTTTCTTGCAGCTCGTGAGTCGAGAATTGCTGTCTAGAAATTGCTACAGTTGCTAGTGCTACTAGACTGATGCTTGTTACTCGTAAATAGCCTCCATCGCATTGACTTGAAGTTGCTATGCAAGCCGTTGCCGCGAAGTCGATCGTGCTCCAATAAATATTTTCCACTTACCAGGTACTTGAAGCCCTTTTTTCCTTTTTACTCGCAACATTTAATTGTTACAAGAAGCTTTGGTCAAGACTTTTGCATGCCAAGAATTGGTTTCGGTCAAGGCTTTTGCACGTTTCATCATTAGATGCTTCAATCACTAAATAGCTTCGGTCATAATTGTCAATAAATAGCTTTGGTCAAGGCTTTTGCATGTTTCATCATTAGAGGCTTTGAATATGATCGGTACTTGGAATTTGTTTGCCTACCCAACATGCGCTTTAGACCTGTATCTCCGACATATTTTGAGATAGTTTGGCCCTTTGACTTATCCATTAAAATAATGCCAAGAGCTATTCCTTACGGCTAAAATTTCAATCTCAACGCTTGTACCAGTCCATTTGCACCCCAAATATTATTATCATGCATGATTGGATCTCAGCTTTATCAACTTACTCCTTTATAGATAACCAAAATCGCGCTTGAAGGAGAACTTTAAGTGAACTCGAAGACTTGAGAAAAAGGCAAGGTAATTCTAATTACCAAAATTTTGTAAGAATTTTCCTTCATCCTCTAACATTTTCTTTTGCAAAATTTCAGCAAGCATGCAAATTAAGGATTACGCCACGCTATTGCCACATATTTCATTGACGGATGAACGGGGATGATCTCAAACGAAAAGTTTGTCACTACATGTTAACAAGCCAGCAATTGGTGTCTTTGTTGAGTCTTTTATACCCCTTGAAAGTTGTTTTCATCTTGAGAATTGGACTAGCAAGTGGACCAGGGAAGTCGTGGCACCATCGACTTTCTCCACTACGTAGAGAGAAGAAGAAGTGGTCGTATTAAACTCGTCACTTCACAATGGAGATTCAGAAATAGCCAAATTCAAGCTTCCATTCGTGGGATTCAATATTGACAACACTACATGGAAGATTCCTTCATCCTTTTTTGGCGAGGCGTGCTTCACCTCCTATTATTGAGAGTGGATTGAGGACATCCTTGAGAGATATAAAGAAGTGCTCACACGTGCCGACATATTTGAAGTTGTCTACGCGTCGAGATACTCCTACGACCGCTGTGAAAATATCTTGCGAACTTTCTTCAAATATTGATGTCCCTCGACAAATACACTCCATACGCCTGTTGGGGAGTTATTCATCACATTTTGGGACGTTTATCTACTTGGTGGCCTTTCGATCGATGGCTCGTTCTTTGATAAAGTTGTTCCTTCAGCACAGGAACTTCTTACTCGTGATAAAGAAAGGAAGCCACTTCTCCCCGAAAGCTGCAGGTATCTCTTTTCGGCTTACTACCATCTCTCGACGAATGACCAAGGAGTATGGATGAAAGATTGGATTCGCTTCTGGTTCAAAAGAGAGGTTAGGTATAGGGCTCCTCCGAACAGGGCGAATAGAAGAAAGACCACATCCAAATCAAAGATGACCTATAACCCTTCTGGAAGCGTAGAGCCTCATGATCTTGTCGATACCAAGAATTTCGACGTCCCTTTTGACGCATTGAACATCCCAGGATTTTTGAGAAAGGAAATTTATATTGCGGCATTCATAGCGTGTTGGATTTGCAAATTTCTTTTACCAAGCAAAAAGGTCGATCGTATTCGCCCAAGTGTCTTCAAGGTTGCATGCTTAATGGCCACAGGGAAAAGATTTTGACTTGCAATACCTGTTCTTACGAGCATATATCATGGATTGAGCGAGATCGTCTACGCCCCTAACCTTAGAGAATGCGAGGTAACTTTTTCGATCCATTATGTCTATGCTTGGATCGGTCAATACTTTGATGTGTATTATGAGAATAACCAAGTAAGTAGCCACTACGCGCGCATGATGAGATTTAGTGGTGAGAAAATGATAATATTTTACGGTAAATCGAAAGCTAAGGAAATCTTCAAAAAAGTGAATCCCTTGATACTTTCCAAACTGTACTGAACCGAGAATGAAGAAAAAGTGTTGATCGACGATGGATCCTTATCATCGAGGCTCACGAGTTACTTTATTAGTCAACGCTCGTGTTACTTAATTCTACGTAAGGACAATATTTTTATTATTAAAAAAAATAATCCTTACAGGTTTAGTAGACAATTCGGCTTCTGTCAGGATATTTCGAACAACTTGAAAGAGATCACTCACACTTATACTTTGGGTGAGGCCATTCAATTATGGGATTCCTCAGTTCGCACGAAGACGCGATCTCGGATGACTATACCTACGCATAGGAAGCATCCATTGATCACAAAAGACTATGATGTCTGGTGGTCAACATGGTCAAACAGTGTCTTTTCAACTTTCTTTAAATTCACAATTAAGATCCCTCAACAGTCATCGAAGAAGGGTAATGTTACTTCCATCAATGAGCCGATACATTACAATGGAGCTATAGGGACTGGAACAGGTTTTACTGCATCTAACTTGCAGGAAGGCAAAATGACAGGCACTCGCCTGAAAAGTGTTGTCACAAAAAATAAGATTTCAAAGAATTCTCAACGGGCTCCCAAAGAGACGAACCTAGCGACTCCAATAAAGAAGGCGCCATCCACCATTCCAAAATCTTTAATCATGACTTCCATGGGAAAAGACGTTGAAATTGCCATGTTGGATGATTACGATTTTATCAAGGCTATTGAAAAAGAAGGAACTCAAGCCTAGGGCACCGGATCTACGCAAGGGGAAACCCATTCATTGGCAAGCGGCAGTAGTAGTCAAGATCGTCATTGGAACCGATCAAAGAAGAGGATATCTTCTGATTTGGAGGAGGTTTCCTTTACACCGCCGCCGGTTGGAGTGTCACCGTTTAAGGTAATCATCTCTCCATTTTTTCCTTTTTTGTAACTTTTTTTTTCCCTTTTTTTTCGTAACTTTTTCCCCTTTTTTTGTTTTTTTTTCAGCCCCCATTTCTTGAATTCCGTCAAGAAATGTTCGTACCAATTGAACATGAAACTGATGATACAATTTCAAACAAGAAAGGTGACGAAATCGTTATCAGCATTCCAAAACAACTTGCCCCTAATGGAGGTACCTCATCAATACATAAAAAGGAGCTGACTAGTTCGCACGAGATCCGGAAAAGACCTAAGGTAGCATTGGTCTCAGAATTTCATGGTCAAAAATTGATCCAGGCGCATCGAAGGAAGTACTTGCAGAGTTTGTGGATGGATTTTCGCGGACAAATTCTTAACACTCCTATTGAGCAAATTTCTTCTTTAAAAGAGTGTGCAGAGGAAATTATTGCAGAAATCATAAGGACGGATCCCACCAATAGTCTTCCTTTAAAAGACTATTTGATAGAATTGTTTGCCAAGGCAGAGACATATGATGTTTTGGCATTTTCATCATGAAAAAAGATGAGTAAAGAAGCACATGCAGAACTTCTTTCCAAAGTGACCGCCCAACTCAGTAGAGCCAAGGCAAAGGAAGAAGAACTAACTTATCATCTGCAAAATTTGGAAGAGAAGTTGCAATCTATTGAAGATAGGAAGAAAGTTCTCCAACAGGAACTTATTGACTTGGAGAAACAAGGCATTGAAATCAGCTCGACTATTGATCAAAAGTATGAAACCTTCAAAGAGATCCAGAATGAGATAAGCCAAGCACATGATGAATTCTTTTCTATTGAAAATACTAGTATCTTGACTGATGACGCAATGAAGGAATTTGAAAACATGAAATCTATACTTGAATCATGTAAAATAGTTGTAGTGGAATACAAATTTGACATTTAGACTTTCCACCATGTTCTTGTTTTTCCTGAATTTTTTAATCATTTTTTCATGTAATGATTTTTTTTATGAATAATAAAATATTTTTCATTTCTTATCTCTTTTTTTTTTCTAAGAGAAAAGAATTTTTAAACTTAGCATTTTATCTTCAAAAACGAAGAGACTCTTTTTTTTTTTTGCAAGGAAAAAGGGTTTGATTTAGGAGGTGTAACTGAACTTAGAAATGGCCCTCTAAATTGCCTACGTATCCCAAAAAGGGAATCAAATCACACGTAGCTCTAGCCGTTCGCATTTTAACCTCATGCGGGTCAGGAGCATCTATTTGTTTACCACCTCAGACTTGGTGGAGTGTTTCAACAGTTTAACCACATACTACACTATTGGTGGTTGTCATCCACAGTTTTAGCTCATGTGGGTCAGGAGCAACAAGCTGTTCTGATTATGCATAGTACCTTTCCAGGTATTTGTTGTTGATGGAGTCAACCCTTAATCCATCCTCAGCAATCAATTTATATGAACCATTCGTATACATTTCTCGAACAACATATGGACCATTCCACTTAAGAGTAAACTTCATTTGTCCGCCATGAGTGAGAATGATCGGTCTCCGAACAGCGAGTACTAACTCTCCAACTTGAAAAGAACGTGGCCGGACATGCTTATTGAATGCTTTTGAAAGGTGAGCTTGATAGCACTCAATTCGTTGTTGAGTTTCCAATCTCTTTTCGTCGAGTGCTTCTAACTCCTCAAGGCGAAAACGAATATTATCTTCCTCACTGAGTCTTTCTTGAATCATAATTTTTAGCAACGGTATTTGACACTCAAGTGGAAGAACAGTTTCAACACCGTTAACAAGCGAGTATGGGGTTGCTTGCGTGGGAGTTCGAAAAGTAGTTCTGTATGCTCAAAGCGCTTCTCCAATTCGAACATGCCAATCCCTTTTCGATTTATCCACGATTTTCTTCAACAGATTACATAATGTCTTGTTGAATGCTTCAGCGAGTCCATTTGCAGTAGCATAGTACATGGAAGAGTTGTATTGTTTGAAATGAAACTTTTTGTAAAGTTTATTCATTGCCACATTACAAAAAGATTTACCATTATCGATGATAATATAACGTGGGACACCATACCGATAAATGATGTGCAAACGAATGAAATCCACTACATTCTCCTTTTTGACCTCTCCTAGTGGAGTTGCTTCAGCCCATTTTGAGAAATAATCTGTAGCTGTCAAAATGAAGATATGTCCACCAGAAGATTTTGGGAGTGATCCAACTATATCCAAACCCCATGCATCGAATGGCCAAGAAGCCACAGTTGGGTGCAATGGTTCGGGAGGTTGATGGATGAAATTGCCATGAAATTGACAAACTTGACATCTTCTAGCAAAGTCGATGCAGTCCTTCACCATCGTTGGCCAGTAGTATCCCATTCTTTTAATGCGAAAGTGTAATTTCGGACCAGATTAACGAGCACCACATATCCCAGAGTGAGCCTCCTCCATTGCTTGCATGGCCTCATCTTCTCCAAAACATCGTAGAAACACTCCATCAAATGACCTTCGGTAAAGCGTCCCTTTGTAGTAAATGAAGTATGGCGCTCGACAACGTATATCAACCTTTTTCTTGGGATCTTCAGGTAACTTTCCATGATTAAGGTAATTCATAATGGGATGACGCCAATCCTCCTTTTCAATCTCATGGACAAAAATATGATAAGCATTTTCTTCTCCACCATTATCTTCTTCATCGAACATCAGAGGTATGACCCAATTTTGACATATTGAAATTTGATTTCGATGAGAAAGTAGAGTGATCATGTGTTGATCTTGATCCCTATCTTTTGATATTTATAAAATAATGGATAATACTAATATCTTTTCAAGAAATATTTTCAGTTATGAAACAAATCAGATTCAAAATTCAAGTGCAAATGAAAGGGACAAAGGCTGCTGAAAGCTGTCGGACGCTTGGATCGGACATCCGATAATCATTGCACAACTTCAGACGCATGAAAAACTCCACCACCGGACGTTTGAAGGAAATAAGACATTCCCCCTGGCTTACTGACCTCGATCGGACGCAAGCATCGGACGTCCGATAGGATCGTTCAAACTCGATGAAAGCTGTCGGACGCTCACAAAGACAATATCGAACGTCCGATAGAATTGAGATATTTCTTCTAACGTATTGTCTGCTTTCGGACGCAAGCACCAGATGTCTGATAGAATTGAAGAAAATTTTTCAAACTCATTGTCTGCTGTCAGACGCAAGAAACCAGACTACCGGGTGTCCGATACTCCAACGACTAGTTGACTTTTCAGCTACTTTCTATCCGTTGGAAGCATTAATAAAGCACTTTCTTGGTCTCCTATAAATAGAGTATGGTCAGAAATTTCAAATAACTTTGCACATTGAGACTACATCAGATCTAGAGTGATTCAAGGGCAAGAATACTCTTAAAAGAATATTTGTACTCTTAGTTGTGTAATTTTCATTTAATTCTTCAAGTGTGTTTCAATTACTTCAATAGCTTAGCTTTGTGAGGGTTATCTGAGTGATAGTAAAACTTCCTTGCTTGACCAAGTGTGACTTGGGGTAAGGAGGAAGTGATCATTCCCTTGTACACAAGAGTGATTGTAATTCATCAACTTGAAGAAACTTGTTTGAATTGATCTACAAGTTCAAGAGGAGTTGAGTAATTAACAGGTTTGCAATTCTTTCTTTTTTATTTACTTATTGTTACGTTTGTGATCTTTACATTGCTTATCTCTTCTACTTCTCTCAAGTGATTTTGTTCATTCGTTAATTGATTCATTGTGTGATCACTTAGAAAAGAGGGTAAATTTCATATTGAACAAAAAGTACCCATAATTTAATTAAAATTTTAATCAACCTAATTCATCCCCTCTTAAGTTGTCTTCGATCCGGAAGTGATCCTTTCCTTGTACACAAGAGATTGGTTGTAAGTTGATCAATTTGAAGAAACTTGCACTATAAAGTGACATTCAAACTCAAGAGGAGTTTGGTATTTGGTTTGATACTCTATCTCTTTTACTTTCTGCTTTGATATATAAATTGCTCATCTCTTCTACTCATAAGCACTTGTGCTTTCTGATTCATTTTTCCATTGTGTGGTCTTTTAGAAAAAGATGGCAAGTACTCAAAAGGTGACTCATAACTTGATCAGTTTTTAATCTACCTAATTCACCCTCCTCTTAGGTTATCTTCGATCCTTACATCATGGACGCTACCCTTCTTAAAGATTCAGCTTGTTGGTTGAAATTTCTAGAGATATGTTCTATAGTGACATTGTCTAAATATCTCATGAGTTGTCTTACATACTTATAATATGAGATCAATTCAGGCTTCTTGATATCATAAATACCAAGAAATTGATTTATCACTAACTTTGAATCGCTATAGACTCTAAGATGCAATTGCTTTATGTCTACAGCCGTTTTAAGACCGAGAATTAACGCTTGATATTCGACCACATTGTTTGAATACCGGCGTGTTAAAGTGAAAGAGTACGGCAATATATCTGTTTCAAAAGTATAAAAGACAACTCCCGCACCAGCTCTATCACGGTGAGCAGCTCCATCGAAATATATCGACCACGGAGATTCGACCATAAATATTTCTTCATCGGGGAGTTCATCGGTCAACTCCCACTCGTCTGCCAATACTTGTCCTTTGATAGTTTTCGCAGGTACATAAATAATTTCGAATTGTTGAAATTGAAGGTACCATCTCGCAAGTCGATCGGACAGTACAGGTTTTACCATGACATATCTAATGGGATTGGACTTGGATATGAGTCGGACAGTATGTGCTTGAAAATAATGTTTCAACTTCTGAATGGCAAATATAAGTGCCAAAACAACTTCTCGATGGGTGTGTAATTCAACTCATTAGATGTTATCATCCGGCTCAAGTAATACAATGCATTCTCCTTACCTTCATAATTTCTTGAGCAAGTAAGGCCCCAATCAACCTCTCTTGGGCGGAAATATAAAGAATCAATGATTTTTCTGGAATTGGAACAGTTAATACAGGGGGATTCATGAGATACGTTTTAATGCTTGTAAAAGTATTTCTACAAGTTTTATCCTACTCGAAGGTACCCTTTTTTTCATTAGTCGACTGAAAGATTGGCATTGTCCAACCAAATTAAAGATAAACCTTCGGATGTAAGCCAATTTTTCTTGAAGGCTCTTTAATTTATGGATATTTCGTGGTTCAAGCATGTTCACAATGGCATCAATTTTAGATCGATCGACCTCTATTCCCCATTGATGAACGATGAAACCGAGAAACTTGCCAGAAATGACTCGGAATGCGCATTTCATAGGATTCATCTTCAGTTGGTATCTCCGAAGGCATTGAAAAACTTTTCGAAAGTCTTGAATATGATCTTCTCGTTTCTTTGATTTCACCACAAGATCGTCAACGTAGCACTCCACATTTTTATGGAGCATATCATCAAAAATTCTTTGCATTGCCCTTTAATATGTCGCTTCAGTATTTTTCAAGCCAAACGATATCACTTTATAATAATAAATTTCCTTGGGAGTGCGAAAGGCAGTGAGCTCCTCGTCTTCGACTACCATGCGTATTTGATTGTAGCCAAACGATCCATCGAAAAACGATAATGTTTCAAGTCCTGTTGTAACATCTACTGTCAATTCTGTGATGGGGAACGAAAAATCATCTTTGGGGTAAGCCTCATTTAAGTCTCGAAAATCTACACAAATTTGGATTTGCCCATTCTTTTTTCTCACAGGAACAATACTTGAAATCCACGTTGGCTATTTCACTTTTCGTATGAATCCTGTCTCAATCAATCTACTTATCTCATTTTCTATTAGAGGAATCAATTCGGGCCGAAAGCATTTCTAAGTTTGCTTGACAGGTTTTGTTCCTCGCTTGACAGACAAATTATGAATAACGTTCCTTGGATCCAAATCAGGTATTTCTAAATAATTTCAGGCAAAGACATCTCTGAACTCAAGCAGCAAATCAACATACTTTTTCTCATCTTCAGGAGTCATACAAGAGCTTATGTAAATTGGGCGAGGATCATCATTTGTGCCAAGGTTAATCTCCTTTAGCATATCGACTGTATTTTTTACTCCTTGTTCAAATTTAGGAGAAGCGTCATCCGCTTCTTTTTCTTCTTCTTCAGAATCACTGATCGTAATATGATGGCAAGAAGCAATACTTTCTTGGTCCTATTCTTCAAAGATGGTTTCGATTCTTACGTTAAACAAGTTTTCATAATGCATAAAGAAGTTGGAAACTCATTTTCTCGAACCATTCTTCTTTATTAGAGTAAGATCTTCCTCCTTGACGACTTGGTACCCTTGTTTTTTGCTGCCCAATCTCTCATAGACGGGACGGTTTCAAATTTTTTGGCTGCGCGCCAAGTCTGTCGAACACAGAAGTACGTTTTGACTTATTTTTCAATCCGTCGAAAACAGACCTTTTTCGGATTGTGACATCCATTTCTTCGTTCACATAGTTACAACTTACCCTTTTGATCATTATACGAACAGGAGAGGGCGGTTGATAATCAAGACACATCGATGAACTTTCAACATTATAGCCTCTTTTTTTCAATATTTTCTGTGTAGGTGTTAATCAGTGAGTCTTCTCGCCAGTCACTTCAGGAGGGAGTTTGCCCAATGCATTCTCCTCATTTGGGTTATAATCCGCCTTAGCAAGAAGTCTATATGCATTTGGATCAAAACTTTCTTGAGTTCGATTAGTTAGTAGTGAGTAATGTTCCATTACAGGTTCTTCTTTGGGACGGACAAACCCTTACAAGTTCGCTTTCTCACTTTTAACAGGTTCTATTTTGGTGAGCGGAACATTTAATGTGTCATTTCTGATAAAAAAAGACTGACCTTCTTCTCTCTTTGATTTTGGAATGTAACGTAAAATGGGTACTTTAGAATCTTGACTTTCTTCCTTTACTGATTCTTTTCTTTTTGCTTCTTTTTGAAGATAAAATTTGACGTCGGCAAAGTGAGTCTCGGTCTCAGTGAAAGGTTTATCATCGGCAGTAATTTTCTTAACTATACCGTCTCGACAATATTTGAAACATTGATGAAGAGTAGACGGTATAATTTCATTCTTATGAATCCAGGGTCTTCCCAAGAGCATGTTGTAAGAGGTTTTGTCTTCAATGATATGAAATAACGCACTTGAAGACAACTCACCAATGGGCAATTCAAATCTTATAAGGCCAATTGCTCTTTGTCCCCCTTGGTTAAATCCTTGGATCATGAGGTGGCTTTGGGAGAGTTCATCGCTTGAGATTCCTAGTTCTTTCATAGCACGTACGGACATGATATTGACAGCAGATCCCCCATCAATGAGTATCCGATTCATCTTCTATTCTCAGACA